GCTGTCAAGAATTTTGGCAGCTCTAGTCCCAAACATATGGAGGGCAAAGTTTTTTTTAGGAAACTGTTTTGGCAGCTGAAAAGAAATAGGCAGCTGAGTGCTAAGAGTAACAGAAGATCATATAATTGGCAATTTAAAAAAGAATAAACACCTTTTGAAAAGTGTCTGTGCCTAGGTGCCATCAAGTTTTGAATGACACCCTGATGGGGTAGTTTGAGGCAGTTTTACAGCCTTCTGATGAAACTGGGCAGGGATGCTCCATTGTTTTTATATGCATTTTCCATTTATAAGGTTATTCTATGGGAATAAGTGTTGAAATAATGGGACTTGCTTCTAATAGGCTTAGAACCAGGGTGTCAGGAAATGAGTTGATTTCCCAGTTGGACTCCTTGATTCCTTTCCATTTAAGGTGATGGAAAAAAATTAAATTCCAAAAGTATTTCAAATAAATTCAAATCATAATCTTAGCCTGTTCTCTGCTTTTCATATAGTTTTCTTTGCAGACTAATCTTACAAGCATTCTTCACCTGGCAAAACAGTCCCCGAGACCTAGACAGCAAAGTAGGCTTTTTGAGAATGGAGCCGTTGTTTTCTATAACAGAAAAAGGCCTCATTCCATCTCTTCTCCCAGCAACCACCAGCACTTCATGTCTGCTGTGACTGGCCAAACATCTAAGAAATTAAGCGAACATTGAACCCATTCCAAATATCTTAAGCAGCACCCAAAAATGTGGTGGGGGGACCTGTTATTGATCATTCTTCAGAAAGTAAGTGCAGTAGTTGTTTTTCTAAGGTCCACAAGTGACCTGTTCCAGTTGAATATAATCACTTCATAAATATTTGCAAGAAATATATAGCCGGTGTAGCATATTGGCAAAAGTGTTGGACTATGACTGAAGAACGTAAGAGGAGCCCAGCTGGATCAGTCCAAACATCCATCTGGTCCAGCGTTCTCTTCATGTGGAGGCCAACCAGCTGCCCAGGGAAAAGCTACAAGCTGGACTTCAGTGCAAAGCACCCTCCCACCCATGCTCCCCAGCCACTGGGGCACATAGGCATTCTGCTAATGACAGTGAAGGCTGCATAGAATCATCACAACTGATAGCATTTTCTGCCATCAATTTATCTCATCCACTTTGAAAGCACTGTAAGCTGGTAGTTGTTGCCACATCTGATGTCCATGTTTTAACCTTCCCTTGATATGCCCCAGATCCCACCATTCAGTTTCCTTGGATGATGCAGAATTCAAATATTGTAGGAAGGAGGAAACAGCACCTATCCACTTTCTTCATGCTTTGCATGCCTGTCTATGTCTCTTTCATGTTCCCCATACCAGTCACCTTTTTGGGAAGCTAAAAAGCCTCACAGAGGGGCTGCCCCAGATCCTTGATCGTTTGAGTTGCTTCTTTTGCACCTTTTCCAGCTCTGCAACATCCATTCTGAGGTGTGATGAGCAGAACTAAGCATAGCATTCCGGATGTGGTCATGCTGCAGATTTGCACAGGGGCATTATGTTACTGGAACTTATTTTCGGCTCTTTTCCCAACAATCCCCAATAAGGAACTGGCCTTTCCTAGAACTTTTCTGAGATGATGTTCCCATCAAACTGTCCACCACAAGCACAGGAGTCCTTTCTTGGTAAGTCACTCAGACCCCATCAGCGTAAATGTGAAGCTTGTTGGGGGAGTTGTCCCGGGGGCATTATTTTTTAGTTACTTACACTGAACTGAATTTGCCACTTTGAAGCTGACTGCACTTTGGAAACCTGGATTCAAATCCGCATTGTAATATGACTGGTGTTTAAATGTGGTTACCAGAGAAGGTCACCACCAAGTTCAATGCCATGTCTAAAAAAATCCAGACGTATCTCCCAAACCATGTCTGAAAAGATATTGATCTTGCTCCATGCTTAGGATGCTGTGAAACCAAACCACAGGGTTTGGAAAGGCTTTTGAATTAGGTCACACTCTCTGAAAGTGGTGCCCTTTGTTACAGCATTCATGCAGCTCCTGCTGGAAGATGAAATGAGCTCCATAGTGTGGGAGAACAGGGGAGTCACTTCATACCAGAAGGTGCGCCATTGCATGAGCATTCTTGTTCCTCCTCCATTGCCATCTAGCAGTCTAGAACAAAACATTGCTTTGTGAGAAATTTTCACCCCACTCAAGGGGGAAGCAACTCAGTAGGGTGAGAAAAATAACAGCCTTACCAGGTCAACTCGTCAGGATTAGCCAGCCCATTTGAGTCACTATGAAGATGAAAGGGAGAGAACAATAAAATATGCCAACTTGAATTCCTCAGAGGAAAGATGGAATATAAATGCAAGAAAGAAGTCTGTGTTGTCTCTCCACGGAAAATGACAATGTTCAGAAGGGAGCCCGATTGAGTTCAATGCAAGTTTTCCTATCAAAATGAAGATGCCTGGTTTTTAGCTATTATTGAAATTCAGCAATGGGGGGCAGGGGGTTACAGGCAATCTGGATATTGTCCAGCCCAGTAAATAGGATTGCACTTGGGTTGACTTTTCATAGCCAACATTTCTACAGGCAAACCCAGAGTTTGTCAGATTCACTGAAACACAAGGTGCTTCTGCAATCTCTTATCTCTCTCAATCTCCTGTTGTTGTGGGGATAAAATTGAGACCAGGAGGAGAATTATGGCACGAGTGGAGCCAGCTGGAGCTGGGGGTCAGACTAGATGGCCCAGGAGACCCCTTCTGACTTGCTCAGTTTCTATGTTTCTATGTTCTATGTTTCTATCTTCCACTGCCACATATGGTTCATCTTCTCATAAGCCATTGCAAACACTTTCAGTTACATGGAGTTCATAACTGCAATTCCATAAGGACTGCATTTCCATAAGAACAGAGCAAAGTCCATAAGGTCTTCTCAAGCCATTTTGTTGCATCTGTCAAGAAATGTTACACTTCCCCACAGCAACTGACATTTTCCTTTTCAGTTCTTCCTGCTTCTCCCCTGAGGCTTCCTGCCCAGCCTTTCAGGATGAGGTTTTCGTAGTTTCCAGCTATCTACCAGAGAGCAGCAACCACAGATAAAATGGCATTCCTACCCACCTGGTAACTCTACATTTATAGCTCTAATGGCAGCTGGACCTCTCTCATGAGCAACACTGTGATGTTTCCCAATATGTAGCTTGGGTACAACTTGTCTTCTGATCATGTCTAAAGACCATACTAATTCATGTCAATCCATACAACATATCACCTGTTGGCAGGACATAGCTGTGAAATGGACTTACCTGCTCTGTGTGTGGTGTGCAGACCAAAATTCTTGGCAATGGAAGATGCTTCGGTTTCCCTGTAGGCTGAAACATTCCCAAGAGTTTTCTGAGTGGCACAAAGAAACTTGGAGCCAATACATTACATTCTGGGCTTGCTTCTGCATCCTTGTACTTATTTGTACATCAATAAACAAAAGGAACTTGGAAGTCTCCACTATGGTGATGAATTCTACTATTTTTCAAGCTAGTTCAGAAGTTTCCTCTAAGAGTCAGGGGCTGGTATCAGAAGCAAACACCAGACTACAGTATTGATAAACACAGAGAGAGATCCTATTGCATAGATACTCCAAGTGAAGTTCCAGAAATTAGTGCTATGCTATAGGATGAACGTAAGGCCTCAGCATTTTCAAGAAATCTCCAAACCAAGCAATTGTCTATAAATGCACATACTCATCTCATCCTCTTTGAATATGAAAAAGTGCTGGGGTCACAGCACTCCAAATTATACTAATGTCCTCCAGATGCATTAGACTATAGAAGTCCCATAATGCAGCTATGGGAGTTCTAGCCTAATGCAGCTATAAGGCATTAAGTTGAGGAGGGCTGGTTTATACCAGTGT